CTGAGACGATTACCTGTATACCCAATCTCTAAGCCTTTAATTTATTCTTCTGTTGTATATTTTATTGTTGAATCTTGATTTTATTTTTAATTTTTTGCGAGGTATTAGCAAATCGCTCCAAAATACCGTAAAATCTCAAAAGAAATTGGAGTTAGGCGACCTCAAGTATGTTCCTTTGTATTTTTGTTGTGAATCTTTGAGTTGTTTCTTTCTTTCTTTTTCTTTTCTTTTTTTGCTAGATTTTAACAAAATATTCCCAAAATACCAAAAAAATTTGCTAGGAACTTGGACTTGGGGGACCTCAAGTATGTTCCTTCATAAAAAAAAAATTGTGTGTTTTTTGTTTCAGTCTGTTCATGTTTACTTTGAAGTTTTCGTTCTTTCCTTCTGTCTATGTTTGGACTTTTGCGAAATTTGTTAAAAAAAAAAAAAAAACGATTAATGTACAAATTGAAGATTATTGACCTTAGATATGTTGATTTTATATTTCCTTTGTTTGAGGGTGATTTTTTTTTCACAAATAATTCTGTTTCACTATACATTATTTATAATTTTAGCTCCTAATCTTTTGTACGCTTGAACTGACATTGTAGTTAACCTCATGGTTGAGATGTAGGTAGATCATATCTTTTCTGTGGATGAAAAGATTACGCATGTTATAAGCATGTTTGAAAAGTTCGAGACCACTTTTAATGCCACGAATTTATGTACTATTGAAAAAAATTGTAGCTCGGAGAGACTTAAAGAGGCGTTTCTTATTTTGAACGTTAGGTGGTTTGGACCGGCCCAATCCGTAAGATTCCTTTTCTGGACAAGATCTATCCTATTGGTTTAAAAGCATCTCAATCTAATCACCAACCATTTATACAGACTCCACTTTTTCTACTTGTAAAATTCTTACACCAATTTCTCGTAGTAGACATATTAATTTCATCTATACGAACATAAAATTAAATGTATTTATATCGCGTATGTAATAATTTAATTGTTTATTAGTATATATTGTGATCTTTGCACTATATAATAAATGTCACAAGGTAAATGCTCCAAATTGTAATGTGATTTAATTCAAATTTTAGTTGATTTCATATGTAAATGCTTCCTTTTAATAACCTTTGTTTGCCGTAGTCGAATTTTTGAAGAAAAAAAATACATTGGAGCTTGTATCAACTTTAACATCTATTGTGATATTCTTGTGCTTCAACTAAGCATTGATATCAATCAAAATACTTCCCCTTTTTATTCTTGTTGAAGTGAGGGCTTGCAATTGGAGGGAAAAAACAAACTCTTGTTCAAAATTATGGGGGTCATAAAATATTGATAATGATATCAAGACATAGCATCGAAACGGGACCTGCAATCTTATTCTTTTATCAAAACAAATTTTGTAAAAAAAGAATAGGGGGAGATGTTAGATATTTTTTCATAATTTATTTATTTGTTTATTGTTATTATGTAAATGGTTTGCCGCTTCGAAAGGTACAGATCCGTCAATGTGTGATGATATACTTTTCGTGATTTTTCCTCACTCATCAAACGGAGTGTCGACCAAAATAACGGAATTTGTCTCCGCACATCTCCGCGGTGTGCGGAGACATTCATCTTCACGCACCGCGATAAGGGTCTCCGTGGTGTTTTCACTTTGCACTGCACGGAGTGAGACTCCGCGTTGTGCGAATTTTTTCGTTTCTTTATTTTCCAATAAACTTTTTTTCTTGTTCAGTGGGTACTATAAATATTTTGGTACAGAGCACAAATATGAATTGTCAAACGTTGGCAAGTTTAGAAAGATTAATATTGTCCCCATTAATTTCTTCCTTGGAAAAAATTTAGGCTACAAAAAACTTTTCATTTGAATCTTACTAGAATATTATCATTATGAAATTTTACTAATTATTATGTTAGATAAAAACTTACTGAACTTTTACAATAATTTAACTTCTCATTAATATTTGATACACTAACATTACCTTAAAAATAACAAAGTCCGTACATTATATGGGCATACAACTAGTGTGTATATATTGTAAGAGCGTGTATGGGTATCATCATAACGAGGAATAATAGGTCTTATAAAATGAGAATTTTGGATTCGCTATCTCAAACGTGGAAAAGAGGAGGAAATTGTTCGTTCTTATCAAGAAATTATGCCCACTAATCTTGTGAAATTATGCCCACTAATTCATTATTTCTTTACAAGTGTATGGTCTGGATCATTTGTTCCTTAATGGAATTCTGAACGCTTATTATGCCCACTTATTAATGTATCCAGTTCTAGAAACCTTTACTGGACGGGCTTTGCAAATCCTTCCGCACGTGGTTTTGCATTTCCAATCAAAGCAGTTGTAATCTCATCAAAATTTATAAATTGAAACAACGGGAAAACTTGATCATCAGAATTTGATTAAAATTCAAATACTACTCAGTTCGATTGCAGAAATGGAGAAATCGGTGATGGTGGTGGGGCTTGATGACAGTGAACGCAGCTTCTATGCCTTGGAGTGGACTTTGGAACATTTCTTTTCTAAATCGCCGGAAAATTGGCCGTTCAAGCTAGTGATCGTGCACGCTAAACCTTCTGCGGTATCCGCCGTTGGTCTAGCTGGCCCTGGTATATTCTCAATTAATGCATTCATATTTTGTTGTAATTTTTGAATTGATGGTGATTGTACAAGGTAATTAGAGTGGAGTTGTTAAGGTGTTTTTCGTGATTGTAATTTTTAGGTGCTGCCGATGTGCTGCCGTATGTGGAGACAGATTTGAAGAAGATTGCGGCGAGGGTCTTGGAAAGGGCTAAGGAAACTTGCACTGCCAAATCGGTATTGAATTTCGAATTATTCATATTTTTTCGTAATTTGAAGTCTATTTTGCAGAATCCAAAATTGGGGAAGATGACCAAAAATCCTTAGAAATTATTGGTAAAACTCTATAATCTAAGACCCTGAGGCATGTCTGATGAACAAGCAGTTTAATTGTTTGATTAACTGTCCACATATAATTCATGGCATTTTTTATCAATATTTTTCGTTTGACTGTGTTGAAATTTTTCTATAGTTCCATACAGTTGGGCAAAAACTTGCAACTTGTAACTAAGATTGATCCATCCAATCTTGGTTAGAGGAACCACATACTCGAGCGCAATAATTGATTGTACTCGGGCTCACTAAAAGCATAGGTTTTTCCAATATATTTGTTACTGGATGAGCTTTGAAATATGCACTTATTTCGTGCACATCCACAATTGGCCAATCAGATGAATGTTTCTGTAGCTAAAATTTACAGGGAAAAATACAAATACAGTTTTGCCTCTCCGTCTTAGGGCATGACACAATACCTCCTTTTTCTTCTCTTTCCTTCTGTCACTCTCTTTCCTTTTTTTGGGTAAAAGTGTTAAATTGTCGTCCATTTGAGTGGGTTGAAGACCGTCTAAGATTCTAAATTGGCATTTGCCCTCAATTCCCAGAAGTTGAAAGGTGTTAATATCATGCTTGTAGTTTTCCTTCTTATCACCTCTTAGCCATTTTTATCTAAATTTCTAGAATTACGTTCTTTGATGGTGAAACAATAGAAGGGTTCGTCTGCATTCTTGATTATCCATTTTAAGCATCTGATTTTGTACAGGTGAATGATGTAATATTGGAGGTCATGGAAGGGGATGCAAGGAATGTTCTCTGTGAGGCCGTGGAAAAGCACCACGCCTCTATTTTAGTTGTTGGTAATCATGGATATGGAGCTATAAAGAGGTAAGGAAATTATTCCATGGAAAAGCACCATGCCTCTACTTCATATTTTTCATGGAAAGAGAGTGTTTTTTTCTCCAAGTAAGAACAAAATGTCCTCAGTCAACCATTGCATGAATATTTGCATCTCTAAAGAGAGGAAAAGAAAGAAACTCTTGGAACATCTATAAGAACTTTTTAAAATCAGTTGATAAGTTGCTGCTGCAATTGCTCTTGTAGGGCTGTTTTGGGCAGTGTAAGCGACTATTGTGCACATCATGCTCACTGCACCGTGATGATAGTGAAGAAGCCGAAGATCAAAAACTAATCTACTTAATGAGTGAATAATTATAGTAGTTATATCAATTAAGAATACAAAAGCTACATGATTGTTCAATTGTATCCATGTTCAAGCACCTGTAATTTTGTCCCTCCCTTCTATGTTTGAAGTCGTAATTGCCTTCTACTCAAATACTAGTATTATTGTCTCTTTGTTCTCCCCCTCCTGGATGTAGAACTTGATAAACTGAACTGGTTTGTGTACTTATTTATCTTCATGCTCTAGATAATTTATAAATGCTATTCGACTTGTATGTGAATTAGTCTAATAAGAACCTTTCGATTTTTGAAGTAGATGGAGTTTCCCTTTACTATAAATTTCATTGTTACCAGTATTGATAGGTAGAATGGAACTCTATTTTATTCTCGTCCGATTAATCATTTCTTTAAAAGATCTACAAGACTACAAATGGTTTGATCAATGAATATATGATTCTTTCTTCAATGTACGTTTATCATTCATCTTTTTTGAAGTTTCGACGGAAAGATTCCTCTACCACAGCAATCAACCAATTTGTTTCCATATAATACAAACAGTCTTCCATATGATGTGATTATTCATTTCATTTTTTTGTCTCAACACTTTTGAGGGTGATACAAGTACATGTGCAGGAGCTATCAGGGGACTGGAGCTCATCTACTTTATTTTCTGAGAACTTAACCTGTCCGAGGAACAAATGTGTTATCTCCAACTTCAGTAATTGCATTTGAGCTTGTGCTCTTCCCTTTCAAGAAATTTGAGTACCAGTGTGCAGAAAGCTTCGGATATCTCGTTAGGTTCTTGTCATCCAAATCGACGTAGTGAAGGCCGAAGGATGTCCTGTAGCCATCCAACAACTCAAGACAATCTAAGAACGTCCACGCGAAATATCCCCTCGTGTTCGATCCATTCCTTCATCCATTTCAAGATGATAATAAAAATTTAAGCAAGAAAATAAAATTTTGACCTCAGTTGAAATTACATACGCATACCTTATAGCATCAAGCATGGCCCCAATGTAAGCATGCAAATATTCTACTCGTGACTTGTCGTAAAGTGTTCCATTGCGTCGTGTCATCTGGCCTGCCAAACCAATTTAAGCTAAGCTTTCGCTACTTTTATACATTTCAATGGCTTGCTAGATAAGGTGAACTATATAGCACTAGACAATAGGATAACTTGAAAGTTTCTATAATGCATTCTGTTCTTAGAGTTCAATGCTTTATTACTGCGATCAAGAGGAGCAGTGAGATTAAAAGCGGTCTACTAATTTGATAATGTACCATTTTGGTATAAATGAGTGGGCATCTGCAAACATAGAGTGCGTCGTGAGAGAGCTAGAGGACAGAGAGAGAGACCATTTTCATGGACGTAAATAGGTAGATTGTCGTAAACTTGTTTTAGATACTCCAGAACTCCATAAAGACCCGAAGGCATGATAGCATACTGTGCCAAACAAAAGTGTTTTGAATATAGAGTCAATCAAACCAAAACCATGAAATTATATTAAGATTTCACCTCATCCGTCAGTTCACTGCCCTGATTATCTGCAGAAACCGAAAAAAGAAGGTAAGTTCTTTGGTGTATTACCATATCTCAGACTATTCCAGTTGCAAAGTGAACTTTTCACTGGAGGAACAGCATTATCTGAATGATAGATAGCTAACTGAAGCTGAACGCAAACATTCAGGAAAATAAACTAGAAGAACAAATGAAACTGAATAATGACTAGAAACTATTCAATTTGAGTTAGTGAAAAAGGGTAGTCATACATATAAGCTCTACTGCCATATCATCATAAAAATCCCTGTTATTCATTTTGAGGGTGCTGGGGTTGTCCTTGATGTGTACTGTTGTATAGTGGTTCACTCCTATAAAGTCAGCTGATCCCTTGATTTGCTTCGACTCATATTCGGTAAAGGCTGGAAGTCTCTTCCCGACATTTTTCTTTATTATGTCAGGATAGTCTCCATAGATAACGGGATCAACTAACCTGCAGCAAAAATTAGACATATGAGAAAGTTAGCTAATTGTCAAACCACAGGGTCTTCATATATATGGGATAGCAAAATGCACAATATTCCCCAACCTAAAGCGCTCTACCTTTAAAACGGACCATTTCCCTCCAATTTTCCATTAATGTTGCACAAATAGTCCCCAGCGACAACTGTTCGAATTCTTCATTAAATCGTCATGCAGTCCTCATGGAAACGCGTCATTTTAAATTTCCAGAACTAGCCGAAGTTGGAAAACAAATCTATCTTCATGTGGGCCAAAAGATGATTCTGCTATTGAGGACTAATTATGCAACTTTAATAGAAGGTTGCAATCAACTTTCTACTCGAGCACTGGGGAACCACTGTGCAGTTTTCCTTATATAGGAATAGTAGGTAAACTTAGTAGCTACCTAGCCAAGTTATGCAACTTACCAACCAACATAGAAGTCCTTAGCTCTTTGAGTTGCAATCACATCTACTGTTGAATTTGTATAAGGAATAAACCATAAAGTATACACGTTCAATCCCAGGAAACCATTTTGAGTGGCCTGCATTAAAACATGTTATATCCTTAAAGAAAGTATAATCAATTATAAAAATTCTACAATGGAAAAAAGGACAAAAAATAACCTTGTATTTCTTCTTGTAAAGTTTTGCAGCAGCTGAATGTGCCAGCAAGACATTATGTACCACGATATATGGCTCAATTGAAGAGTTACCCTTCGAACAATTAGTTCCCAATGATGGTGAACAGCGTCCTGGGGCAATGATTCCTTCGTTGTAACCTCCCAGGGCAAATATATTGGCTTCATTAATGGTAGTCCAGTACAAAACCCTGTCACCGAATTCTCTGAAGCACAAGTCTGCGTACAACACAAAGTCCTTCCTGCAGTTACCAGTGGATAAGTTTCTCTACAATAAATTGTATAAGTTTCCATGGCATGTAAAACTAGTGCAGGATAACGTACACAATCTTGCGACTAAGCCATCCCCCATACTCATCTTCAAGTGCTTGTGGTAGATCAATATGATTTAATGTAACATGTGGTTGGATTCCTGAACAATTACACAGTTTTTACCATGGAGGCACTATGAGACAGATCCATTCATTTGCTATATTTAAGGGAAAATATATTTCGAAGCATTGTCACCGTGGCTTATAAGCTGGTCAATGAGATTATTGTAGTATTGTAGCCCTTTTGGGTTGATAGGTCCTCTTCCATCTGAAGACAGTAGACATCAGTCATCATTTGAGTAAAAAGTATGAAAACGTGCAGGTTTCTTGTATAGCATGATGCAGGTTAACATACTAGGAATAAGCCTTGACCATGATATGGATAATCTGAAGGCCTCCAAGTGCATGTCCACCATTATCCCGATATCTTCCTGAAATTCACAGTATGAATCTTACTTGTAAATTTAGGCAAAAATATTGAAACCTCTAGTTCATAATTCAGTTCAAACAAGACAAGATAAAAGACAAGGAAGTAGAAAGAAGTCCGTGTAGTGGAGCTAGAATTTTCACATAGGGAGCGAGAAAATGTTGAAGGGGCAAAATATACATGTATTTTGTATAGACTATAAAAAAATTCTATGTAGGCTTAAAGAAAATTACTACAAGCCTCTTTTATTGTAAATATATAGGAAGAGTACATTTCCTTCATGAACGCTAGATTTGGCATCACGAGACTACATCCTTCGATCAGACATCAAAAGTAACAATATCCATAGTTAAAGCAGAACTTCATTTGTACCTCACTCGAAGAAGAGAAAGAAAAGTTGTGAAAATTAGACTTCTCAACTGTTTATGCACCTTGTATTTGTGATATCCGTCACAGGCTACATCTCCAGTGGCTCCATGAGTATGACCTGAAGTTACAGAGTAGGATAGCAAGATATTAACACTTGAGGAGTGAGTCTCTTTCGATTACTGGGATAGAGAGAAATTCTAGACCAGAAAATTCACTTCACTGCTGCCAGTAATATTGAGATTGTCAAAATCCACGAACATTTAGGAAACTAAACAACATTCTAAGCTTAGAGCAAAGTAACTTTTTGGTTCCCAAACATAGTGTGTTTGGATTTTCTATTAAGTTACTTATAATCTCCTTATAATACAAAAATTAGTGGATGGTACGAGTTGTGTGAATAATAAGTGATAAAAGATCAAGAGCATATGTGTAAGTATAAACCAGAATGAGCAAAGATATCCCAAATGCTAGGAGTCCTTCCATCATCGAACGCTGCTCCCTCATACTAATATTCACCAATTGCGTTCGTTCATGCAAAATTTCAGCGATTAGAATTCTGAGAGAATATGAACAAAAGAAAAAAAATGAAGAAATACTAACTTGATAAGCAGAAGTTCCAGATCCAAAAATAAAGTCTGCCAGAAAGTCTGCTCTGGTATAATCGCCGCCGTGCGCGGCCGTCGTCAGCAAAAATAGCAGGGAAAGAAAGGAGCTTGCTTGCAGCAGCATAATGTTATCTAGTTGATCATATCGCGTAATGTCTTGTTTGTTGTGCAATATATAAATGAATAATTGTAGTGACGATCCCAAATCTTTCAAGTTTTTGCAAATTTTACTCTGATCTTTTGTATGTTGCGGTATCAATCTCAAGCCTTTCATTCTAAGTGACTGAAGGATATGTGGACGGTTTCTTTCACAAGACTACGGTAATTTGAATTGTCATTTTACCATTTTAAAATTGGTTAAAATATGATCAAAGTCAAGTTTCTAGATCAACTAATGGTCTTTTGAATGAAAACCATCCATATGTATTTTCAGTCGCACAGAAATTAAAGGTTTGGACTTTGTAGCTCAACAAATAATAGGATAAGCTAAAATTTATAAACAAATTTAAAAGATTTGGGGTCATGGTTGCAATTATCCCCAAATAAATGTAGCTTTTCCATAATTGATTGCAGCCGCCATTTCGTTTTCAAAAATGACAACAAATTCTTTTCATGTTATAATATTTTTCTGAAAAATGTGGTAATATCATTGTAAAATTGAAATTAACGTATATCGCCTTATAGTTTTCCTTCTTATCACCTCTTATCCATTTTTATCTAAGGGTCCATTAGATTGCAAGAGTGAAATTTAGGTGGAAAGAAAATGAATTCCAGAGAATTAAATTACATAGAATTGTTTTCCTAAAAATTGTCAATTAATTGTGTTTTATTAGTATAATTTTCCACGTTGAAAATATTGAAATTTTGAATCTTTTGGTATTCGTTTGGCTTTGTTTTACATGGAAATTGTCCATTAAAAGGAAAAAAATTTATAATTGAGGATAGAATTTGTTTCCATTGCAAAAAAAAGGGATGGAAAACCAAAAACCACCAAATAGGTAGGAAAACAAATTCAAGGAAAAGCTGGAAAATGAAGCAAATTTGAAAAATCAATTGCCTAGAAAATTTTGGCTATCAAATAGCCAAAAATGTGGAAAATGGAAAATATTTTTCAACTTCCATGGAAAATTTTACACATCAAACAGGGTCTAAATTTTTAGAATTACATTCTTTGATGGTGAAACAATAGCAGGGTTCATCTGCATTCTTGATTATCCATTTTAAGCATCTGCTTTTGTACAGGAATATGACGTAATATTGGAGGTCATGGAAGGGGATGCAAGGAATGTTCTCTGTGAGGCCGTGGAAAAGCACCATGCCTCTACTTCATATTTTTCATGGAAAGAAAGAATGTTTTTTTCTCCAAGTAAGAACAAAATGTCCTCAGTCAACCATTGCATGAATCTCTTGGAACATCTGTAAGAACTTTTTAAAATCAGTTGATAAGTTGCTGCTGTAATTGCTCTTGTAGGGCTGTTTTGGGCATTGTAAGCGACTATTGTGCACATCATGCTCACTGCACCGTGATGATAGTGAAGAAGCCGAAGATCAAAAACTAATCTACTTATCATTGAGTGAGTAATTATAGTAGTTATATCAATTATGAATATAAAAGCTACATGATTGTTCAACTGTATCCATGTTCAAGCACCTGTAATTTTGTCCCTCCCTTCTATGTTTGAAGTTGTCATTGCCTTCTACTCAAATACTAGTATTATTAGAAGAAAATATGGAGAATGATAGAAATTGGAGTTGTTATTTTATTCATTGAGAAACCATCAATTTATAGTACAACTCAATAAACTAAATATGTAAAGATAAATAACAATTCCTAAAATTAAGCACATCATCATAATCATCAATTATCTTGATCAATTTGTCTTCAATGATTCCTTGCTTTCCTCCTTCATATATTTTTGTCAAGATTTGTTGCTGCTAATAGACATGATATCTATAGAACCTTTTGAGATGGTGGGAAGGGATAGTTAGCCCCTGTCTCGTAAGGATTAAAATTCAAATTTTAATTCAAGTAAAATTCAACGAAAAATCTTAACTACATATTTCAAGGTTCCACAATTTTTCAACGACACATTTCATTATTTATCAAAATCTATTAAAAATCTGATTTTAATACCCACCAAACATGACTTAATTGAGAGTGATTATGGATGTACAAATGGGGGAACAAAATGGGCTGTGCTTGTATCGACGTTGTGGAGATTGAAATTTGAGGTTCCCTTTT